ATCCTGGCCAACATGGTGAAACCCCGTCTCTACTAAAAACACAAAAATTAGCTGGGTGTGGTGGTGTACACCTGTAATTCCAGCTACTCGAGAGGTTGAAGCAGGAGTATCGCTTGAACCAGGGAGTCGGGGTCAGAGGTTGCAGTGAGCCGAGATCGTGCCACTGCACTCCAGCCTGGCAATAGAGCGAGACTGCGTCTCAAACAAAACAAAACAAAACAAAACCATCCTGAGATGGTGCTGCTGGATGTGAGTGCTGGAAAGGGGGAGGCACCTTTGTCCTAGGGAATTAGGAGCTGACCAGATACCTCCTGAGTGCCCCGCAGAACAAGTTGGGGGTGGTGCTGCACTAAATGATGCCCCCCCGGAAGATGTATTTGCATTGGTTCAATGAATATACAATGCAGAGGCCTAAATGAAGACATGTGAATGGTGAATGTGGACATCAGTTTGCAGCTGGGAAACAGGTGCCTCTCATTCTCCCCAGTAAGTGTGGAATGTGTCCATGCCCATGAGTGTATAGATCTGTCCTTCTTAACTTGTACACGACTCTAGGTCAGTTCCGAGTGAATGACGTGCAGATGAGATTTCTCGTCATGAGTAAGTTTGACATTGTGGCTGCTGCTTTTGCTGCCACCATCCTCAAGACCAACCTGGCTTAAAGTCCAGGCTTTAGGTCAAAACAATGGAGGGCTTCCTGTGTTCTGGGATGGGAAGTTGGAGATCTGTGGTAGGGCTGGGAGTTGGGGTACACTTTAGTTGTGTGCAGAATGAGAGCTGCAGTGGTTTTATGAATCGTGATTAGCCTGACCTGGTTTTAGCTCTCGGTGGGGGAAGGAATCGGCAGTGGTGGTTCCCCAGATATCCATGCGACCAGCCGTGGCCTTCCTGCCCTCAGACCCAGCAAAAAGTACCACCACAGACTCTGACTTGCCTCCCTCCTCCCTGCACCCCAGATGGGAATACCTTGGAGGCTACAATCTGAATGTGTTATTCTCCCCATTTTAACTGTACCTGCCTAACACAGTGAGGGAGTGAGTATGGGTGGGATGAGGGACCTGAGGAGAAACCAGAGTGGAATCATAAATCCTTGGGAAAAGTTAAAGATACAGGAGTGGACTGGGCTCAGTGGCTCATGCCTGTAATCCCAGCACTTTGGGAGGCTGAGGCAGGCAGATCACCTGAGGTCAGGAGTTCAAGACTAGCCTGGGCAACCCAGTGAAACCCCATCTCTACTAAAAATACAAAAATTAGCTGGGCATGGTGGCACACACCTATTGTCCCAGCTACTTGAGTGGCTGAGGCAGGACAATTGCTTGAACCCGGGAGGCAGAGGTTGCGGTGAGCCGAGATTGTGCCACTGGGTTCCAGCCTGGGTAACAGAGCAAAACTCTGTCTCAAAAAAAAAAAAAAAAA